ATTAAATATTTGCCCCACAGACCTCAGAAAACCTCGGATCTCTGGTAGAACAACAGTAAAGGAGGGAGACGATCTGAATCTGACCTGCAGTGTGGACAGTGTTCCTCCATCAGTTATTAAATGGACTAAATCTGGAACAGAAACCAACTGGCAGCCCAGCAATTCATCTAGTGCTTTCAACATCACTGAAAACACCATGAAGGCGAAAGATGGCAATGGTTCTTTGTCCGACACTAATGTGGCAGCAGAAGATTCAAGGGTTTACATCTGTACTTCAAAAAATTTGACCAAGAATCTAACAGAACAAATCAAAGTAACAGTAACAAGTAAGTACTTTCTTCTTAATAATTTTCAGCAAGCATGTCTTTTCATCAGAGGAAGTGTTCATGGTTACAACACTTTTACTGAATTACTTGTGTATGTACTTTATATAAGGATTTTATTCCGGCACCAATGTTGTGTATAAATCGTTTTTATATTTCAAAAATATTTAAAGGACATTAAAGAACAAGCAGCATCCTGGGGACAACCAAACACGCCAGACATGTCAGGAATAACATTTTGGATGCTTTTCTTCTGTCAAAGCAAAATCAAGTGTTAGGTTGGCCCAGTAAAAGTCCAAAGATGAATCAAGCTGAGATAATGTGGAAAACCCAAAGTTTGATTTTCAATAATGCGCTATTAAATTTAACTGAGCTTGAGCCACTCTAAAAAGAAAAATGAACAAAAGTTTCAATTTATAGACGTGCAAGAGATTAGAGAAAGTTCGTAGCTGTGAGGACAGTAAAAGTTGATTCTACAAACTATCATCAGGAGGCCGAATTTTTGTGCTTTATGCCTGGATGCTTAAAAAGTCAAAGTCAACTTCTATTGACCAATCAGAATAAGCTTGGTCAATAAAGATATTCTGATTACAAATTCACACCACATTTTCAGACTTTTATTTTTAAAGTATTTTAATAGTCATGTGGTAAATTTCCACCACTACACAATCAAGTCTTACTTTGTTTTGCCATGTTACAAAAACAATACCAATTAAATAAATATATTGTGGTTTTACAAAACATAAAAAGTTCAAAGGTCATTATCCTTCTGGAAGGCACTGTGCAATGCAGTCTGTACTTATAATGTGACGATAATGTAACAAAAGTTATAAGGTATGACGAGTTCTGCAAAAAATACTGTTGTCGAGTTCAAGTCGACTTTTAACAGGCTATGTCAGCAATTGATTATACAAGTATAACTAAGCTAAACTACACTTACTAAAATGATATTTTGTGATCTACAGATGATTTCAAAAATGCAACAGTGAAGGAAGGAGGTCTGAATCTGTACTGCAGTGTGGACAGTTTTCCATGGACTAAAAACGGAATAGAAACCAATCTAAAAATAGATACTTTAAGTAAAGCATTTACTGCAGTCTATGTGCTGTATGAACTGGCAGAGGTCTCTTCTCCCATCACGAATGAAACAACGGAAGATGCAGAGCGCTATGTTTGTACAGCAACATATCAGAAAAGTACCATGGAAGAAAAAATCCATATAGTGACAAGTAAGTATGTTTCAACAAAAATCATTTCCAACAACAGAGGAAATAAGTCTGAGTTAGCTTTTTTTTTTATTTGTTTAGCTTCACATTACATATGGTAGCAATAGTGCAACTGTGTATATTCTTTGTCTTCATATAACATATTTGGCTTAAATATATTTCACAGGCATAGGAAAACCTCAGATCTCTGGCAAGACAACAGCTGAGGAAGATGCTCTGAATCTGACCTGCACTGTTGACAGTTTTTCCTCTTCAGTTATCAACTTGACCATATTTGAAAAAAGCAACCTGCAGACTAATATTTCAAGTAAACTGCAAAACAGCAGTGAAAATCTCAAGCAGGAACAAAGTGGCACTTTGTTCATCAATAGAGTTACAGCAGAACATGCAGGCCTTTACACCTGCACAGCAAGTCTCCCGAACATAAATGAAACAGAAAGAATTAATTTAACAGTTACATGTAAGTACTGTATCATTTCTATTTTCTTTTTTTCTTTTTTTGACCGTAGTGCCAAATGCTGGAGACAGAAACGTGCAGACAGTGTACAAAACTTCTTCTGCTTTTTGTTCTTATTCTTAGCCACAAAAAGACTTTCCAAAGGGGAACTTGTTGGTTGAGTGAGAAAAAGAAAAAAATGTTTTGAGTTCCCTTCATTTTCAACCCTTCAAGATCTTACAGTAAAATGATTAAGAATGAATTGATTCAGTTTTCATTATATTGTAAGCTAGAGTGAGGCTATCAGCAAAATCAATAAGATAAATAATTTGATGCTCAACAGTTCTTTGTTTTATTTTGCCTATTGTATTGTTAGTTGAGCAACGCTGTTCTGGGCTTTATTTGAATCTTTGGCTTTAAATGTTATCATCTAGCCATACATTTGTTTTAAATTTAAAACATGTTGTAAATCATAAAACAACTTTGCAAACTAAAAACAATTTAATGTCATTTACAGACAGAAGGAGGCCTCAGATCACTGGAAACCAAATGATAAAGGAAGGAGATGCTCTGAATCTGACCTGCAGTGTTGATAGTGTTCCTCCATCACTCATCATGTGGTCTAAAAATTCACTCAGCATGCATCCAAGCAACAGAACTAGCTCCCCCAACAACACTGGATCTGCTACTCTTGTCGTTTTCAACGTGACAGTAGGAGATTCTGGACGATACATCTGTGCAGCAACACACGAGAACATAACTGAGACTAAATATGTAGACGTAAAAGTGACTTGTAAGAAAACATATTTTATTTACAATTAAGCCACACGTGGTTTATCCTAAACTGATTATTATTGTGTGCTTACAGGGGCTCCAAAGGTACTGAATGGTTCTGAATGTGTGCTTCGGTCGGACGTTTTGACCTGTGTGTGTCTTAGTGAGGGATTTCCTCTACCTACCATCCAATGGCCGTTACTGAAAGGCCACACTGAGTACTCCATCACCAGAGTGGTGTCAAACCACACTGTCAACAGCACCGTTACCATAACTGTTGAAAACCATGGTAACATCAGTGTTGAATGTGTTAGCAGCAATGGAAATGGGGAAGCAAAAGAGAACCTCACAGTCCTCTGGACAAAAGGAGAAGGTACAGTTAACACTTGTGCTACTTTTAACTTCTGCTTTAAGGTGCTTATTGCAATTTTTTTTTTTTTTCTGGTGTCAGTACGGACAGATGGCTGTGTAAGTAAGTGCATCTTTTCAGTTCGAAAAACATAGCTGTAAACAATTTTGCTAATTTGACCTTAAATTAGCTATTTTTCCCTGTAAACAAGCAACAGTTGTGTCACATTCTGTATTTGTTCTCCCTTTAGTAAGCAAGCAAAACCCTAATTCAGAAAAAAGTTCCATGCTGGAAATCATCCTTGCCTTTTTGGTTGGGTTCCTTCTTGCACCTATCATCTTCTGTTTGTTCATGAAATTCTACAGGTACATCATACATTTAGAACTTAATTTACATTTTCAACTACAAACATGTATTCAAATCATTACTGTAAAGATAATGTGTCTCCTCAGAATAAAACGGAAGAACTCTGAAAATGCGGGTGAATCTCTGGAGATGATTACGCCACTGGTATGATAAGTATTGATATCAATGATTGTTCTGCTTTTATCTGTGAAATAAAATATCTAATATCTAGTGAGGTGTAATAACAGGATGGTGGGGGTTCAGAACCATAAATAGTTTTTTAATATCCTACACGTCTCTTAAAATTGTAAAATATTTTTCTTTGCAATTTTGTGCATGTTCAGTAAAATGGACAGCAACACATGCTTATCTGTAGAGTCTTAAACAAACAAATGGCACATCTATGAGCAACTGATTATTCTGTGAGAAAAACAAAAATATAGTCTTCTCTTCAAAAAAAAAGACAAAAAAAAAACATTTTGTCACCTTGCAACACAAGTCTCACCAAATCACTTGATCTTTCACAAGTTGACCAGTTGCTGCCTGTGGCCATGTCCAGCAGTGGGTGCTTACTCAATAAAGCAGCACTGCAGAAATAGAGAACAATCGCAGCGTTGTTGGTCATGACGGAGAGCTGTATGTTACATCAACACCCAAAATTCACAGCATGACTCTTGACTTCCTTCTTCAGCATTTCAGAAGCATAATAGTGAAAAGTCGAACTCAGTCCCTTAATGGGATCCTAAGTTTATTAAACCAATGACATTGTGAGAACCTGAACATGTCTCAGACCCAAACTGAGAATCATGCGAATTAACCAGAATTTATTGATATTTAGATTCTGAATGACAAAAAAGCATAGGATAGCTTTTCAATGTACAGTCAGTTGTTAATTCTCAACTTTACTGATGTGTTTTTCTTTATACCTGGCAGATGTCGAATGGTCAAGCTTTGGCAGGAGCTCCTGAAGCTACCAACGGTCCAAAGGAATTGGTGTATGCCAACATTGACTTTTCCCTCCTAAACCGGATTCCCACAAAACGGATAAGAAGTTCAAAAAACAAAAACACGGAATATGCAGAAATCAAGACAAACAAGGAAAAAGGTCATCAAGTGGAGATGATGATTGAGGAGGATGGCGAGACGAAAAACTGCGTCCAAGAAGTGAAAGAAGAGGCTGAGGAACCAGTGTACGCAAAAGTGGAGGAACCAGTGTACGCAAAAGTGGAGGATTTAGTTGAGGAGAGTTGAAGATTGATTGTGAGACCAGACGTCCAAGACAAAATCACTGAAAGCCCCTAAAGCTCAAGAATCCAATATGGATGCCATGAGTATAAAATACAGTAAGAGCTAAATATTAATGATAGTCATGGTTTGCATCTCATGAAACCAGTTGCACAAATCATGGTTCAGAACATCTATCTGTAAAGATGCTGGTTTAGTGTTTGAATGCATAAAAGGCAAATCAAATACTTATTAACATATGAGCAAGAAAATCTCCCAAATTTCCTGACTTCAAATAAGAGTGTGTAAGGCTGATGTCTCGTAGAGCCGCGTTGACGTTTCAATAACCATCATGCCTTTAAAATGTCAACTAGCTTTAATTATAAACTTAACTTATTTTTCATGAATGCTATTCTTTTGGTGTACAACATAAAATCTGCATGTAAAGCTTCAATACAATGTATTTATAACTTGCACATTGAGGCACTTGACACATGGGTCCGTTATGCAGGACGTCAGCACGGTGAAATAAAACTCAGTGGACTTCTTTTCCTTAATTTATTAGGTGAGATTAATTGTAAAAATGTTTCTTTCACATTTTCCTTTATGTATAAGTTAGTATTTGTACAGATCTTTTTAATACATTTTTAAACTGCTACATTTGGACTTTTATTAATGCTTGTTATGTCAAACTAAATCAGGCAAACACATGCATCATTTATTGTATTTTTACAATCTGCAGCACCACTCATGACCTTGAAGACGCCATTCCAACGTGATCCCCCCATTTGGATGTTACACAATGTCGTAAACTGGTTTCAACTAATAAGCTCCTAATGTAATCAGTCAAAGAAACAATTTAGAATTTCTTTAATTAGAAATAACGTATTTTATGTAGTGTACTAAGAGAGATCCTAAATTTATTGAATGTGAAATTGAACTTGTTACCCGTTACCATGACAGTTCAAAGGCAGAAAGAAAACAAAGAACATATAAGACTCTATGACTTGGAGAACATGTTCAGGAGGTATTCAAATAATATGTGATGCAGATTTTTAAATAGAATTATATTTATATTTATTTTAGTATACTCTCACTATGTCATTCACAAAATTGTTCACCCTTTAGATTTGTATTGCTCCCATTAATCAGTTTACACTGTACTTGATGCTTTTCTATGATCCTGCAGGTCAAAACTATGACTAAAAAAATAACATAAAAGTATTGTGACATAGCTCATCGAATATGGCATATTGTGTTTATATATTTTTATTGTATTCATTTTAAGTAAAAGCATAATAAATGTACTTGTTGGTACCAATACATTTGGAAAATGTCGTTTTCTAATTTTTTAAGACTCAATCTCACAACCATCATGATAATACATTCTCTTTCAAGCCCAATATGTAAGGTTTTTTTTTTTTTTTTTTTTTTTTTCAGTAATAACTAAAAGCATTAAACCAATCTCTTGCCATGTCTTAAAACACTTTTTTTCTTCTTCTTTTTTTGTTAAAGCAATGTTAGCTTTATATTTTAGACACTGTTTTATTTGGCCAGAATTGTTAATCATACCTGGAAAGTGGTTTTGTAGTATTCATCTCTGTCGCCACCTGCTGTGGACTATTATCAGTTACAATAAGACAGTAATATTTATTCATTCTTTAATACCATTTGTAACACCCAAAACGGCAAGGTCGTGGAATACAGTTAAAAAAAAAAAGAAAAACAAAAGGAAGTTGACACATTTCTGATAGAGTTTCAATAAGTACCATAAATCAGAAGTTCATACAAATGAAAGCAGCCACCAAAGACGTATAGATTGTTTGTTAGGTGAAGATGAAATCACATTCAACTCGGACATTTTTGCTGCGTGGTAATTAAGTTATAACATCTGCTTCACAGTGCAGCCCAGTTAAAAACACGAAGTCAGACTAAACTTCTTTTGTTTAAAGGTCAGGATGTTTATAGATTGTACTATTTTTATTTGGAGAATTTGTCATTTTGTTTGTTTATTGGCTCTGGGGTGATAATTATTTCTCAGACCTATCAGGAGGTGCGAATAAGTTACACATTTCTATAGATTTTACATTTTAAATGTATACCCCACCAATTCAGTTATTTTTTTTTAAGTTTTATTTTGAGTAGTTCTCTAGCGCCATCTCCTGTTAAATTTAGTTAGTTGCAATAACTAAATTAAGTGAAAATCACCTCAAACACACGTGTGTTTCTCAGTTTATATTGGATGTCGTGAATTAAAGTATCAGAAGCACACAAAGACATAACGTCTTCGTCTATTTTTCTTTTGGTAACGAAACACAGAGCTCTAGTTTAGTTCGTGTATTTTCAGGCAGAGACGAAATAATGAACTGCCTGAAAGGACATGAACCTAATTTGCATCTGATATTCTTATCAGTGGTTAAAGAGGAATCAGTGCTGTGTTCAAGCATTCCATAAATAATGACATTTTAAAGAAAAGTGTCAGGGTATGCATGGTTTCTATGACTAATCAACATGTCAAAGTATGACTTTGACTAGTCTACTGTCAACTTTAAGGACATTCTGACAAAAAGACAGCATAGTGCATAGATGGAGTGATTTTAATCAGACACAAACCAACAAAAAGAAACATTTTCTTATTATGATAAATCTTGGGAAAATCTTTCTTTCAGACTTTTGATGTCTGAGTTTTTGGGTTTTCAAGTTGGAATCCATCTTTCCTTCAGTAATTCTGAGAACAATGAGAAAAATACAGCAGCAATTAACAAGTTGTTTTTCAAAATACAATGAGCATAGAGTGTAATTTAGAAATCAGGGCCTACGTTTGCAAAAAAACGGATTTTTTAACAATGTGGTAACAAACTTCCTGACACGTTGATGTTGCTCAAAAAGGAAATGAGGCAAAAAAGAGAAGGAAGGCAGAGAAACCTCAGTGAAGAAGGTTTTGGGAAATTTTCAAAACAACAAAATATAGAAAACAATAATTCATGTTACTTTATGTCCTCATGCCTTTGGTAGACATCGGTCTGAAAGAAAAAGTATGAATTAACTTGTTAAATGTGAATGAAAGTCTGGGTTAAAATCATACTGAATTAGGATGGTAAAGACCACTGCATTAGCACATAGAGTTAATTATACTTTTAACTAATCTGTTGTAAAAATCTATCTTAATTTAGCTGACTGCCAGAAAGAGCCACTCCTCATGATAAAATGTCTCAATGGTATAATTGAGTAAAAAACAAAACAAAACAAAACACTTCCTGTATTGCTATATTTTGGCATCTCAAGACTGAACTTCCCACTGAAGCCATTTCTGCATTTTAATGCTGCACTGAAGGAACAGGAGAGTAACCACGAAAGAATCAAACCATGTTTACTTTCTTCTGGATGACATTGCTTTTCTTTTTGTGGGGTTCCACCAAAAACACAGGTATCAGGAGCATTTTCTTTCTTTTTTCTTTTTTTTAATGTAGTGCTTAAAGCAGGTTTTATGTGACAATGTTTTACTTTGATATTAAATCAATTTGTTTAGCTGATTAATGTAATCACAAAATGTTTGTTCATTCCTGTTAAGTTTTTAAAAACTTATAATCCTGACACGGTTACACAGTTTGTTGCTGCACTAATAAAAAATGATTAGTTAGATGAAAATAGCCTCAGTTTACAAAGGTTTTGTAGTAGATGCCACAGTTATCACAAAAACAAATGTATAACTATCTTTTCTTTCACATTAACAGTTGAATCAGCCCTTGGAAGACCGGTCTGTTCCAGTGGATACTGCATTACTCTCAGTGACGGAGAAATAACAGCTGAAGCTGGACTGTGTGTTGTGATACCATGTTTCTTCACTGTGGCTGATGGATTTACACCAAAAGCTATTGTCTGGTTTAAATGTGAACCAGGGAGAAGGAGATGTGGTGATTCTGATGTAGTATTTCACACAAATCGTAACAAGGTTCCATCCGAATTTCTAGGACGAGTTTTACTGTTGGATCCTGATGTGAGTCAGGGGAACTGCAGCATCATGATCAATGACCTCAGCACATCTGATTCTGGATCATATCAGCTCAGAGTTAATGGTTTTTACCAAGGAATGGTAGATGGAGTTACGTTCCCTTCAAGAACAAGTCTCTCTGTTAAAGGTATGAAAGGCAATAATAAGAACATCTTTTTTTCTTTCAATTTAGTGATTTGTATAAATACACAACATGTTTCAAGTCTTTTTTTATTACAACATCTAAAAAAAATCTCATAAGAAACTGTCAGTGTTTGTCGACCTCTGTTGGCAGATTGTAGGAACTGCATCAGTACCTAAACAAATCCACTCCTATTGCCCCATGAAAATATTTTTTAAAGCTAAGCTAAAATTAGCTTGTTCCATTTAGATGTAAAATAAGTAATAATGTCTCCACTTGATTTCATTTATCAACCATGTTTTCATCAGGTCTAACCCAAAAGCCCTCTGTGATGGTTCCTCCACTGACTGAGGGACAACAGGCCACTCTGACCTGCACTGCTCCTGGTCTCTGCTCTGGATCTCCTCCTAAAATCACCTGGATGTGGAGAAGAAAGGGAGAAATGGAGGCTAACATAACAGGAAACATGGCTGCTTCTTTTAAAACTGAGAATCTGACTGTTGTCACACAGAGACACAGCTCGATTCTGACCTTTAACTCTTCAGCTAAGCACCACAACACCAATGTAACCTGTAAGGTCAGCTTCACAAGTGGCCCAACCACAGAGGAGACTGTGACTCTGAAAGTAAACTGTAAGTATATTATTTGAATGGTTGTTGGTTTTCTGATTTGCCTCATCGGTTAAATGTAGGGAATCTATAGGCTACAGGATGTTTAAAATCACTGTGGATACAAATGTGAATTAAGGTGATAGTAAATACTGAACCTGCAGAGTCTAATGTTTACCAGACGTTTGTTCTTACAAACTGAGGAAACCAATATTTACCCAGTTTGTGAGAAAGTGTCCTTTGGAAACCCAACCAAACCCCAAATATTTTTTTTCTAAAATGCTCGAAAAGAATCATTGCCTATGTCAAACACTGCAAGTAATAGAATATCAGGAATATTTTTATAAATTACAAAGCATTTTTGTTTATTCACATAAGATTTTAAGCTTTAAATCTACAGCTTTCTAGTTTCTAGAAAAGACATCAGAGTGTTTCCCATTTGTTCACAACTGATTTATTTTGTTGAATCCTAACCACCTGTGAGCCAAATCACAACCTTTTATACACTAAAAGGTTGGAGTATAATCTTTTTTTTTTTTTTTAAATACACTGTTTAAAATGCAATGTTGGTCCCACAGATAAAAGTCAACCTCAGATCACTGGAAACACTATTGTGAAGGAGGGAGATGATCTGAATCTGACCTGCAACGTTGAAAGTTTTCCTCAATCAGTTGTTGTGTGGACTAAACATTCAGCAAGTGAGATTTACCTCCAAAATAACACTGGATCTGCAACACTTGTCATCTCGAATGTGACAGCTGCAGATTCTGGGCGGTATGTCTGCACAGCGACTCACCTGAATGAAACGGTGTCTGCATATGCTGATGTAAAATTGACTTGTAAGTAAACCTCAGAAAGGAGCTCAGGGTAACCACACACTCATCTTACTCTCATAATTTATCTTTTTTTTTTCAGGGTTTTCAAAGATACTGAAAGGTTCTGGATGTGTGCTTCAGTCAGCGCTCCTGATCTGTGTGTGTATCACTGAGGGGTTTCCTCTACCCACTATAACATGGCCGCTGCTGAAGGACCACACAGAGTACTCTGACATCAAGACCGTGTCAAACCACACCGTTAACGACACCGTCACCATACCCCTTAAAAATCGCCATTATGTCAGTGTTGAATGTTACAGCAGCCAAGGAAATGAAGAAGCAAAAGAAAACCTCACAGTCCAAGAAGACTTCACAGAAAAAAAAGGTACATTTTCACCGCTTTCTGTCACATCTGCTTTGACATTCTGTGCTGCCTTCAGATGACGAAGTCAGTGCAGTTATGCTATGATCTATAATAGCTTGGCTTGAAGCTCTTTTCTCTCTCTGTTTTCCCCTCGCAGTCATTCAGTCCAAAACTATTTTAGAAAAGATTTCCAGCCTGGAGGTCATCGTTGCCTTTCTGGTTGGGGCTCTACTTTCAGCTATCATTTGTTCTTTGGCTGTAAAATGCAGCAGGTACGTTGTTCTAGTTTTTAATTGACGTCTGTGAATATTTTCACACATAAGAGTAAAGATAAATTTGTTGTTACTTTTCCAAAATAAAAATAATCAACTGCCTCAAAAAAAAAAAAAAAAAAAACTGTTACTGAAAGTTACTGAAATTAAACTAGAAAGAGATAGAAATATGGCACTATTTTACGAGTGGCAGCAGCTTCTTCATCACAATAAGATGCGCTTTTACTTAGATGCAGTTTCTCCTGTTCTTGCTGAGTTAATTGCTCAAACTGTCTCAGGTTTGAAAGGCTGCGTTTTTACACTACACTCTGATCCTTTATAAACTGTAGGATTAAGATCAGAACAGTTTCTTTTCTCAGCCATTTGCTGCATATTTTGGGACATTGTCCTGTTGGAGAGCTTATATGCCCCTATGTGGGTGAATCTGTCAGAGAGACATTGCTTTTGCCTTCTCTGGTTTATATTCATCCATAACAAACTATCATATGCCATGTTTGTTACTTCCACTTTAAATACATTAAATAGCCGATGGAAAGCTAAAAATCACTTTTGATCTCAAGTAAAAACACTTGATTAAAACAAAACAACAAAAATAATACATTTGATTTTCTTTTCTTTGTGGAATAAGCGACAATCTATTTTTAAGTTGTTTTTTTTATTTTTTTATTCTAGCTTATCACATACTAGAGGAATGCAGATATACATTAGACAGTTGCTTTTACTGAATCCCTTTTCAGGAGAAATAAAGCATTTTTTTAGTAAACTGTAAAGATGCCAGCACATTGATCTTCATCTGTATCAGTTAATCTGTTAATGTAAAAAAATATATATTTTTCACAGGAAGACACTGAAGAAGTCTGATGAAACTCTGAAGATGATCTCTCAAGAGGATCCACTGGTACCTATGTTTGTGCTGCTAGAAGTAAAACATCTAATGATCAGTTCAAAATAATCTGAAAACAAATTCAGGGTATTCATGCACAAATAATACTACAATTCATCAGAGCTTAATTTTTGTTCTTTCCTGAATAACAATTGCATTGCCCTCTTTAAAAATATAAATGTGTGAATATTTGACATCACTTCTACAACAAAAGTAAAATTATGGCTGAAAAAGAAAAAAAAAATCTTTAAACACTTTTGCAGCTCTTGTAGTATATGAGAATTATTTTGTTGGTGAAAAGATCAACGGAAACAAAGATTTGACTGTGATTTAAGCAGCTGCATGTCAGAGTCTCAATAAGCTTTAAAGCTGTTGAGCAAAGATTCATCAATGAGAGCTATTCAACTTTTCAGACCGGTCATAAATGAATCACGGATAGTGGAACAAGCTGTATTATTAGGTGTCTGAAAAAAAAAAAAAAAAACTTTGTGTGGATTCTCTGTGATGTGTGTTATTTTATATCTAGTTTCTCCCTGTACCTGACAGATTGTTCAAAATGACAAATCCCATGTGCAAGAGGAAGCCAAGAACTTACCGATGGCAGGAGAGAAGTCAGCTTCCGAAATGAGCAAAGATCCCAAAGACGTGCAGTATGCCAGCATTGATTTCTCCGTCATGAAGCAAAGGCGTGCAAAAGAGGCAGCAAAGGAACGAGCGAGCACTCTGACTGAGTACGCGGAGATTAAAACTGGACCAAAAGAGCAAAGTAAAGACGGCAATACAGAGGGAAGTGAGACGCTGGAGGGCGAAGAGGAGGATTTGATGACAAAACATGATGAGGAGACGAAGCATTGTGTCTCAGAGGAGCAGACTGAAGTGGAGGCAGTTTACTCCACCGTCAAAGATGTTTTGGATGAGATCTAAGAACTTGTCATTAGCTAGGTACATTGCATACATGCACTTATCCTTCATCACACGCTCATCTTAAAGTTTATAGTAAAAGGAGGAGAGGCTTCAAGTACAGTGATGTTTGCAGCAATGTTCTGGGTGTGTCATATGTTTTGCTGATTCCAATTTGGCAGCAAGGTTCAAAAAAACATGTACAAATTTTACTTTCACACTCATACTGGTACATGTTTGTAATACAGGTAATCCATCCATCCATCCATCCATCCATCCATTTTCTGAACACCCTTGTCCCTCAGTGGGGTCGGGAGGGGTGCTGGTGCCTATCTCCAGCTAACGTTCCGGGCGAGAGGCGGGGTACATCCTGGACAGGTCGCCAGTCTGTCGCAGGGCATAATACAGGTAATCTAAAAAGTAAAATGTACTCATACTGTAAATATATAGCTGTCTATATAGGGTTTCTCAGACAATAATAATGTTTGAAAATGATATGATGTCAGGTTGATTTGTTTATGTCTCATTTGTCTGTATTTTCTAAAAAAACGTGTTCCAAATACGTCTGTATTTCTTAGTGTGTCAAAAATCAGACTGGGATAGAAAGTTAATGTATAAAAGCTTACTTAAAAACATTGATCAGTGAACATAATAAAAGTTGTTTTAAGCATTTTGGAAAGACTTCTAAAGAGAGCCTTCACATGAAGTGTACTGTCAGAACAGGGAAACAACAAAGGATGCCCAGACACTTCATTTTGATTAAGCAGGAAGAAGAATGACCAAGAAACTAACCTTGCATTAAGAAATCCAGTTCGCATCATCAAAGAGTTATAGTACTCTCGTATTCCACAAACAAAACCTTTCAATAGTGGATTGACATGTGTGCAACACATGACAAATCATGTATCTCCAATGTGCTTACAACACTGGACATAAGACTGCTGAGTCTATGAATAATGTGGGGAAGTAGCCACAAGCCCTGGCTTGAGCCTCATGTTTTTTGGTTTGTAAAATAGTATTTTATTTTGTTTTCTTTCTTGTAATGTTGTAAATTTACCAAAATAAAGTTCATCTGAATGAATAAATGAATGAATCTGAATTAATCAACATAAATGTGAAAACATACGATTTATTTCCTGTTTTTATAGAACATAAAGTGTACGTATACGTAGTATTTTAAACATTGAATCTTTAGAATCAGTTGACGTGATATTTGTCGCCCTCTTCTGGTATATTTTAGGAACTGCAACATATGCTCACAAAGTCCAGCTTACTCCCGTTTTAAAATCTCTCAAAATAGATCATAGATCATTGTTTCAGCCGTAAGGAACAATTAATATTAAATGCATTGGTTTCAATCAGAAACCCACACTGATGATTACTCAATTGATTTGCCACACTGACCTTTGAGTTCTGGGAGATTATTTAGATTAATATGGACATGGAGAGGGATGCCATTTTGTCAAACATTACAGGTAAATGTACTGCTTTAAAAATTGAAAATCTAACAGTTTCCACAGAAACTCAGCTCAACACTCAACTTTTAACTATAAGGTTAAAACAACAACACTAACATCACTTGTAAAGTCAGCCACAGAGGAGACTGATTCTGAATATAAACTCAGTTTCAAAAGCTATGTGGTTTATAAAAATCACCTTGTTTCTTCTTCTAGCTTCTAAAAATAATTAAACTTCTTAGTAATAGCTTCTTTTAGAAGATTTTAGCCTCTAAAACAGCTAAAAACGAAATAAAAGAGAAGCTAAAATTACCAATGATACCAGAGTAAAGGTAGCTGGAGCTCTTCATCTAAACTTCAGTGTAGAAGGTTTCCCATATAGTCAAAGTATGGGCTAAATATAAGAAAGAAAATAAGCTATAAAATTACATTCTACCACTTCTGCAGTTGTCTGTAGTTGTTTAGGATGTAAAATGTGCACCATTATAAGCGAATTATAGCTATAACTATAAATAAGATGCATACTAACATGATGATTTCTGCAGAAATCATCATGTTGCATTACAGTTGCACTAGAGAAACGGAAACAAACGAACTTATTTTTATGCGTCAACTGGGTTCAAAACAATCATTTCCTGTAAATAAAAGGAAATGATCTCTTTTTACCAAGTAAAAAATAAGCTCCCTGTTTAACAGAAAATGCATTAATTACAAATGGTAAGAGACGAGCTTAACTGCAACAACACATGAAGGATCTATTAAAACAGAGGGCTGTGGGCTTTTTGTTCATGCGACAGAGTTTGTAGGAAACTGGCTCAACCCCAAATTATGCAGAAACTATTCTTATCTGAAAGGTTGCTAAGAATGATAACAGTTTTCTGCCATACATAATGTGATGTTTCTAATTCTTTTATAAATGGTGATTTGTTTTGTTTTGTTGTTTGTATATGCAAGGTTTCACCGTTTACTGTGGCCAATATGGTGAATATGTTTAGGGCTGTGCTCCTCGGAAAAAGTATTAACGTTTTATTTAGTATTCACACAGAATTGACGTGTTGAAATGGTGCCTCTTCTGAGAACCAGGTGACAGACAGACTTATGTTACAAAGAATCGTTTTGCATTTAAACTTTAACAGAAAATCTAAAGGGTTTGAAAGAAAAAAAAATGTCATAATTGTTATTCTAAATATTTATCTTCCCCAAGAATATAGAAGAGATTCCTTATTTTTTAATTGTGTTGGTAAATTTGGATGGATATCCAGGGACAGTGAAATAAAATATTTGCAATCCAAACAGTCCAAAAATCAAACATCCACTGTCACTTGAAACTACTTGCTTATTAAAACCCCTGGAAATATTCAAATCCATTTTAAAGGGGGCTATTCAAAGGAAAAGATTTTGGATTCATGCATCAAGACAAGAGTGATTTCACATCCACATGTATGAAACATATTCTGGTTCTTCCATTTATGTGTGCACAATGTTTTAGTAATCTATGCTAGGGTTTCTCAACCCTGGTCACCAGGTCCTGCTGTCCCGTGTGTTTAAGTGCTTCGTTCCTGCCACAAACCTTACTTTAATAAATACATGATTATTAACACACTTCTGCAGCACATAATTGGATGCCGACAAGGCAAAAGCAATCACTTGGATCTGGTTTACTGGAGCAGAGACAGATCTAAAACATGAAGTCCTGTGAGCCCTGAGGCCCAGCACTAATCTATGCAACTCTTTGTAAAGGCTGCCAAAAAAAAAAAAAAAAATAGGATTTTATTTGCATGATCATTTTGTTTTGCTCTTTTCCCTCTTTGTCCTTAAAATAAACTCATTTAAAAGAATCTGTGTTGTCACCTAGCGACAAAAGGAGACTTCAAATCATTTGAAATCCAACTGTTATGACAGTGGATGTCCCGAGTCTGACTGTTAGAGTTAAAAATGTCCCTCCATTTCTCAGCATGAAGAGCGAATATTACCCCAGTGGAAATGTTTCTCACTACATATGCTGGATAAGCCAACAAGGGGATTTCAAATATCAAAGCTTTGTATTCTCAAACATGTCTGCACAGCACCTCATGTTCTCTGTCACTAGCATGGTGACAAACAGCCACCACAACTCTAAAAGGCTTAAGAACATCAGTGTTGCATGCTTTGATAATGAGGAACCAAAAGAAAACCTCACAGGCATACAAGACTCTGACAAAGGAGGCCCATTTTCACAGCTAAACCACGACTTGTTACCTCTGCTTTGACATTTAACTCTCTTGCCTGACTTCTTAATATGACCATTGTGGGAAGAGGACCAAGTGTAGTCCATTTCAACATTTACAATGGCATGGTTTGAAGCTGCTATTTCAGTAACACTTTATTTGAAGGGGTGTGCATAAGACTGACATGACATAACACTTGTCACGAACATAAAGAAGTCTTTATGAATGTTTATGACAGTTGTCATGAAGTGTCATTGAAAGTCCATTAAAAATGCCAACTTTGCATTAAATTATCATAATTTACAAAATCATGCAAAGTTGGCACTTTTAATGGACTTTTAATGCAACTTTTAGAGCAACTTTGCATTAAAAGTGTCATTATTTACCGAATGACACTTCAAGACAACTGTCATAAACATTCATAAAGACTTTTTCATGTTCATAGCAGGTGTTATGTCATGTTTATGTCAGTCTTATGCACACCCCTTCAAATAAAGAGCTACCGCTATTTCTCTGTTTCTGTTGCCCTTTTGGAGCCCAAAGTTTGGTTCAAACGTTTCTTTTCTGATTAAGGTTCTACTGTCAGTAAGCATGTGTTGTTCCACTATAGGATGTAACGGGTAAAGATTTTGATTAATTCACATATTTCCAGGTTTTACCTATTAATATTTCTATAAACTAGCTGTTGAAATATAAAGCTGCACAATGGGACAGTTGGTCATGTTGTTGCCTTGCAGCAAGAAAGTCTTTCTGCAAGAGGTTTGCATTTTCTCCCTGTGCATGTGCGAGCTATTTGTGGTTACTCTAGCTTCCTCCCACAGTCCAGAAACATGACTGTTAGATGAAAAGGTATAAGTGTGTATGGTTGTTGGTTCTCTATGTCTCTGTGTAGTTCTGTCATGGACTGGCAACCTGTCCTATGTGTACGCCGCATCTCAGCCAATGGCTGCTGGACCAAGGCACAGGCCCCTCTGCAATCCTACACGGATAAGTGGACATAGACAGTCATACTGCTCAAAAACCCACAGAAAGCTACAGTTCTTTTTAAATATTTCATGCATCCCTTCTTTTAAAAAATCTTTTTTTTTTCACACATTTGGTACATTTCTGATTCAGATAAGTTATTCATGCACTGCAATGCAAACTTTGTTCTCGTGTTATGATTGCAACTGAACAATATTGCCCTTGTAAACAAAAGGAGGAACTCATCACTATCAGCCAATAATACTGCTGTTGTCATGACAAAAATACTCTAACACTTTTTAAAAGAGCCCTTTTTAGTGATATTATTGGAGAACAACTTATCTCTAGATATAATATACATAATACAAAAAAATTACTTTCAGATGAATCAGCAATATCAAAAAAACAACAGATGAAATAGGTGCAAAAAGTTCATTTTTAATTCTGCTAAATCTTAATTGTTTCTAATCACCATTACTGAATGTGCTAAGCAGCTCAGGAGTCAGTGTCTCATATCGTGAAGAAAAATGAAGCAATTGACATAAAAACTGTTCAACATCCTTCTCCCATCAAATTTTGTTTCAAAGATCCTTAACTGTCTGAATTCAGTTGAGCTGCAGTGTAATCTTTTTGTTTGTTCCTGTTAATAGAAAAAAGTCTTCCACTACCATCATTACGACACTAACAGAAAAAGGAAATGGGAGTTTGGATTTGAACTGGGTTGCATTCTTTAGGAAAGGTGACATTAAAACTAAAGAGTTACTGGTAGTGAAAATATGGACTTTCACAACATGCAGAAGTTGTTTTAGAAGTGACTTCCACATGGAAATTGTGCTGATGTCCATGTTTATGAATTATTATTAGGTTGTAAGAGGTGGATGTTTGATCGTTTCATTTTATAGATGACAGTGATAGTAGCACTGGGAGGAAGTC